TATATAAATAAATATATAAATGGTGGTGGGCCGCCTGGACCAAAAAATGCCTGGGCCGATTTTTTGTCCCAGTCCAGCCCTGGATATCATTAATGTTCAATAATTTAATGTAATGTAAACATTTTAGAAGTAATTCTGATTTAAAGGGGACTCAGAAGGCCGAATCCTGACTGAACAAGAGGAGGAGTTGGGGATGGAGGAGGGTAATTAGCTATTGAGCAACGCGAAAGCTGGTGATAATACTTAAGGTCCTTATATATGGGTGCTGTGATAGATGTCGCATCCCTATAGATGTGGATCTGCTGAGAGTCAGATGATGCAATCTTGACTAACCTGACCTGCCAGAACTAACGCTATGCTTGATTTTAGGCAATTTAGAAATTCTGGGCAGAACGTGTCCCCGCGAAGTGGCACGTCTGGTCACCTTATTTTATGCCCTCATGTGAAACTCCTCCTGTATTCCTGTGGGAATGACTGGATTTTTCCCATAAAATTTTGCTGAGCAATGGCAAATGTGACGTCACCGTAAGTATGAGGTATGAAACAGGGTGTCAACTCAAGCAAGGTCCAGCTTGTGTCTGCCACTAGAATTGGTGAGAGGCACCACAGCTGAGGGCAGACCCTCAGTCTGGACCCCCAGAGTCAGGCGCTGACGGGTCTGGCTGCTGCGCTGCTCCAGCGACAGGGCGTCCTGCTTACGAGACAAATCCTCTATCATCTGAGCTTCATGCTGTTTCAGAGACTGCAGAGAGTGTCTGGGAATCAAAGGTGTTCACAGGTCAGACTTTTTTTGAATTTGCAGTATTGATATAAAATACAAGGAGGAATTGAGTTAAAACAGTGGACTCACTGGGCGTGTGCTAACTTCTGTTTCAGTGCCAGAATGGTGGCTTCCAGTTGCTTGGCTTCATCCACCAAACCAAACTGAACCTGGGAGTAACAGGTTATGAGATAACCAATCAAAACGCAGCAGATTAAGATGGATTGTGTTTGTTTTTCACTGGGTGAAATTAACTAGAACAAAGGTCATGCATCTCTTTATTGCTGATGACATAATGTACGATCACATTATTGTTGTTTGGAGAAATCCAGTCATTTCAATCCACCTTATTTTTTAACGTAAGAGTGGGTTTTGTAACCATTTGTAACTTGAATGTGCAAGGCTTCTGGTGTCATAGGCTGCTTGATATTTGTTATGTTATGTTTAATATCATATTATATTTTCATTTATTATCGTAATTATAAATAGTTTTATTGTTTACTACACTTTATTATTGTTCTAGATATTTACCTATCCACCTTATTCTTCAGTGTGGAAGTAAGCCTATGGGCGAGACTTCTGGTTCATTAGCCGCTATAGGGAAATACCGAGAAGAATTACAACGTGCAGTTCATAATTAAGATAATACATAAAAAATAATATGGTAAGACACACCAATTTACAATATCAAGCAACTAAAAATAGCTGGAAGCGAATAAGACCAGAAGCAAGACCCATGAAATTTACAAATGGCCACGCCCATTTTTACGGGAAGAATAAGGTAGATAGCTAATGAATCAGAAGTCTTGCAGTAGGTATGTGGGGGCGTGTTCGAACGAGCCGTTTTAGGTAGGTGTGGCTGACTCGTAACTTTTATAATAAATATCTCTTTGGATTTGAGACTTTAGTCTTTGCAACTTTACAGATCTTCTTTATGCACCAAGAGCTTGTAACACTCCAAAGAGAAAGGAAAAATTGAAATCGCATCATATGACCCCTTTAAAACAAAGATTATTTATGGAAGCATGCTTCCACCAAGGAATAAAAAAGGTAATTGCCACTTTATATCTTACAATTCTGACTTGTTTCTCACAATTCTCAGAATTCTGAGCAAAAAAAAAATCTGAATTGTGAGATATAAAGTCGCAATTGTGAAGAAAAACATTGCAATTTTTATTCAGTGGTTGAAAAAAAAAACTGAATTGCAAGATATAAAATCCGAATTGTGAGATTGTTAGAACTTGGGAATTGTGAGGAAAAAAGGTCAGAATTCCGAGTTTTTATCTCGCAATTTTGACTTTTTTCCCCCTCAGAATTGTGAGGAATTGTGTGATATATACTCAGAATTATGAGAAAAAGTAAAAACTGCGAGATATAAACTCTATATTGTGAGATATAGGCATCCATTCACCTTATTAGAAGTGTACCATCAGAATGTTTTTTAAACATATTTCAAGGTTAAATAATAATAAAAAATACATATAGTTGCTTTAAGATAACTTAAAAAGATGGAGAAAAGAAGTGTGAACATGGTTTTTATGAACTCATTAATCACCAGAGTAAGAGCGTCCATTTCTGCATCCACTTGCTGTGCACAAGCTTTCAGATTCTCCTTCCAGCGCGTGACGTCATTGATTCTGTCACTCAGTCGCCTGCTGCTGTCATACTCATCCCAGTTTGTCTGATAACAATAACAGGAAAATATTTGATAATTAGTGCTACAGTCTTTCTACGCTGTCAAACAACTTTCAAACCACCCTGATCATTACCTTACTGGTCGTCTCATTGCGCAGAGCTCTTCCTTCCTGGCGTATCTCGTGTGAAATGTTGCGCTTGTTTTCAGCAGTGTGTGATATCTGTTTATTATTAGTCGCCCAGTCAGACGCACTGTAACGCAAGCCTGGCTTTGAGCTCAGGGTGGCCATGTTTGCTGGCATCATAGAAACAAGATGACAATTAAAGACAAAAGAAGTAGTTCTAGTAAACAGGCAGATGGTTAACCATCTGATTCTAAAAGGTTCTAATCTGTTTGTGTTTTGATTTGGCGGGTTGCATAAACTGTTTAGACTAGCCTTAAAAAGTTTGTCATCTTTTTTTTTTTTTTCTCAAGGTCATAACTTTTTTAAATTCAGTTATGAAAAGGTAGATTGGTCTTATTTGAATTGGAAACGTAAGACTGATTACCCCTTGGCAACTGCTGCTCAAACTAGTTCTTAAGACACAGTCTTTACATGGTGGCTAACTGGCCCAATTGTTATTTGTGCGAAAAATATATATTAATAAAACTATTTTTAAAATTACTATTATTATTGGACATTATCAGCCTATCAGTTAAATTCACTCTGGTAATGCAAACTTCTCTTTTCTGTATTTTAAGAAGCATCATAGTTTAGTAAAACTACTAGTAATAATAGCAAATTAACAATTATTATATCGTTTAGTAATGTATTTGATGCATAAATAATCAGAATGATAAAAGACAAAAAATTATAATGCCAGAGCAAGCAATCTCTCGGATATTTGACGTGACATTTCAAACAAATAACTTTTACTTATTCCTGTGTATTTATCCTGCATTTATCATATATTTATGCCTATATGTATTTCACGACCTCGTAATTGAGAGGTTATATTGAATATTTGTACTTTTATTAAATGATTTGTCACACAGCAGGGCTACTAGTTAAAACTTAAATGGAAATGGAGTTTCTGCACCTAAAATATACTTTGACTTGTGTATTCATATACATTTAACAGTAAAATCTTTGTTAAGTAAAGTTCATATACATGTCATTTGTAAACCACTGAAACATTCATTTGACTTACCGAAACTGATGCAACTTTCAGATGTGTTGTCAGTCGCTGTTGCGAGTCCAGCAGTAAACACGGTAAGCGGGTCTCTTGGTAACGGGGCGACGCAACTGCAGCTTATTCAATAATTTATACAGCATAGCAACACTCAACAATTACTCACCGAGACGTTTCATCGTCTCACCGTGACATGTGCCCATTACCACTCAGAAATCCGAGAAACACTTGGGGTGGGATCAGTTTGACCTTTCATCATCTAGAACACCTTAAAGACCTCACAGCAACGCGTAATAGCCACTCGAAGGGTCCATAGGTCCTCATATGGCTTGTTAACTGAGGGGTGTTACAGAGTATTTGTTAAATATAGCTAACGAAATATATATTGTGTGTTTGATTGGTCCAGACGCTACAATATATTTACACATAAAGGTATAGTTTTTTAAATAATAATAATACAAATATCTCACCTTTGCAACAACATAAACCACAACACATAAAATGGACAGATATGAAAACATCCAGAACAGATCACACTTACATATGGTGCAGAGGCTCCAGAGAGAAACATGTGGATTGGCTCAAGGTTGTAGACCTTCTTTACATGTTCGGCAAAAGCAAAGCAGGTCATAGCTCCAAAACTACAGAAAGAAGTTGCAAATGAACAGGTATTTATTTATTTATATAAAAAGGTATATATTTGTCATGTTCTGGCCCATGTTCCTTTTAAATTGACTATCATGTTCTGGCCCTACACATCAGCTTGTTTATATAATTTAACATCATATACTTTTATATATACCTTTTTAAAACCTATCATCATTTCCTGCTACTTTAGTAACAGTGTCACAAACCTATGTCCAAAGAGTGCAAATGGCTTTTCTCTGAGATGTGGAAGAAGCACACCGATGATCTCATCAATGATTTCCTGCATATTTAGAAAAAATGGTTCCTTAGCTCTTCCTTCTCTGCCTGGCAGTCGAACTGAGTACACTGAAAATAAATGAACAATTAAATGAAACTAAAAATATCCTACTTTTGAATGAACAATCAAATGATTAAAATTTAGTTTGAAAAATATGTAATTAATACAATGAATGTAAAAAATGCAATTAATCTTATGTTATTAAATGTATTTATTTGTTTGTTTGTTTGATTGATTGTTTTAAGTAGCAGAGTTACCTTCAATAGAGCTGTTGAGAGTTTTGGCCCAGCGAGCATAATGGATAGAGCCTCCACCTGCCCAGGGAAAACAGATGAGGCGCTTGTTGAAACAGGTTAAGACTTTATCCATTCCTCTGAAACATTAAGAATCATTTATCCTAGGCAAAACAATGGATCAAATACATATAGGAAATAGAGTTATCTGGTCATGCAAATGGACTGATGCCACATATGGAAGACTAGAAATGTACCCTGCAGTACTTTTGTTTACCTGGAGAAAATATTCCACATGTTAGTGAGATACACAGAGTTTAAGTTATTGATCTCAATGCTTGTTTAGCTGAATTTTGGCTTAATCAATCCCATGCATATAATGGAATAAAATTTTAATTGAGTAGCACGTATAAATAAGGTTTGAGCTTTTTGTAGTTTATCAGCATTCTGGCGTACATTCACGACTTTAGTTATAGTTTAGTTTAGTTGACGAGCTAGTTATTTACATACTTCAATATGTAAGCCATTGATTTATGCCCAAATGATTTAATCTTTCGTATGGGATGATTTAAGAAAAAAATGCATTTTAATTCATTGATCCTAATGTTTTAGAAAATAGAAATTACACCAGTACAAAAAAAGGATTAATAAAACCACAAGATACTGTACTCACGTTTGTAGTGCAGAATATATCGGTAGTTGACATGACATGGCATTTTCACTGTCCCACAGGATAAAAATTAATATAATTAATATTGTCGTTATTTAAAATGCTGTAAATCGTTAAACATTTCTTCGTTCTACATGGAACTGTTGTTAAAAAAGCTGCAGTGTTATTAGATTTTTTACCTAATGTTTTAGAAAATAGAAATTACACCAGTACAAAAAAAGGATTACCACAAAAAACCACAAGATACTGTACTCACGTTTGTAGTGCAGAATATATCCTGTACACAAGCTTCTTCTTCTGTGGTTTTTATTTGGCGGTTTGCAAATGAAGTACATTACCGCCATCTGCAGGACTGAGGTGTGAGCTCGTTGGGATATAAAATTTGTATCATCTACCCTGTGTGTGTGTGTGTATGTA